ACTGTAAAACTTGAAAATATTATTTTAATTAGCATTTAATTTGTGTCACATCTTAATCTTGTTTTAAAAAGAAATAATATTACATAATATAAACATTTATAGAGAATAGTGAAAAAACCCACATACTTTTTTAAGGATTTTCTCTGTGGGAAGCTGCAGCCCTGAGTCAATGGAGAGAGAGAGAGAGAGAGATGGATCTTGCTTAGAGCCATGAATGGAGGAATTTAGTTCCAGGTATAGTGGGAAGTATCTCTGACAGCAAAATGAAGCCTTAGCTGGGCGAGCCTTAGTTCTTCAGATTCTTCTTAGGTTTTCCCATTTTACTCCATTTGTAAGTTCAGGAATGATCTATGGCTAGGTACATAAAAGGATGGTGAAGGAAATTATGAAAGTGGGGTATATTATGTGACTCTGATCGCATAATAAATCTCTATAGTGGCTTTTGTCCAGATATTCTTCCAAGAATCTCAGAACTTTCACAAGCTTAGAATCTCTCAAACTGTCTCAGAAGTACTCTATTTGGAAAGGCATACTATTTAAAAGCACCTTGGCCCAACAATACTTATTCTGAATCCTTCTTGAGATTTCACACCACAAGGTAGTGTATAAAAGGCTTTGCTTAGTCATCCATAAATAAACCTGTTAAACTCAAGACTTGAGACCCAGCATTTCCCAGGCTTTTTTACCCCACAGCACATCTATTTAGGATCATTGGTGTCATGTTCCCCCAATATTCCTGTGCTCACATGAGAAACATTTGGAGGAACTACAGCAAGTGGCTCTTCCCTCCTCTCTTGATCAGCCTTAAACTTTATGACCCCTCATTTCAACTTCTTTTGCTAGTACCTTCAACTTTCTTGCCTAATTGCTCATTGCATCTGCTAAGATAATTTAGTCAAATAGTGTACTTCACCTTCTTGTGCTCCCACTAAATATGTACATTTAACCATGATTAAATGTAATCATTCTGTATCTTAATTATCAGGAGTAACTTGCACATTAATAACTGTTTAATTTATTACTTTGCCAGACTGTAGAGGTACAAATGAAGAATAAGTTACAATCCTACTTGTACCTTATAGCTTACCTCCTTAATCTAATTAGGGAAACAGTTTATAATTACACAAAACGTTTAAATAATAGTATACTGTATAATGTAATTAATGTCAAAATTAATAAGAGCTGTTATAAATTAAGAATACCACATGTAAATAATTATTGTTGATACCAGAAGCACAAACTTCATGTGGATAATTGTTTGCTAGGAGTTAATTAATCCTTCTTTAAGAAAATTAACTGAAGTTCATTTAAGCAGTGACCTATAAAACATCTGTATAGCAAGTGACTTGTGTTTGGTTTACCCATATGTTGGTATTTGCTAAACTAAATATTCCTCAAGGAGAGAGATTTTTCTTCAGATGAAATGAANTAAGTAGTACAGCCTTACACTGGCTAATTTTCATTCCTGAGGATGAAAGTCTCATTTGGGAGGGGGGGGGGGAAGAAAGCTGCTTCATAGCACTGCCTGTGGGCTTGCTGCTCATCCTCAGCTCTGTGTCCCCCACCCCCAGAGGGGTCCCGCACTCTCACCTACAAGGACGGGTGGGCCGTCCATGGGAAGAGTGTATTAGCTAGAATGCTGAAAGGATTTTTGGTGCTTCTCAAGGGCTTTGTAGCTTTCCCAGGTAGAGAAGGGTGTTTGTGTTTATCCACTCTGAGATCAGTTATGATGATTTTTCCATATTTTCTATTTTGCTTTGAGAGAGAGTATTTGTAAATGTGTTGTGTTCTCTGAATGATTAAATTTAACTGTTTGATTTAGGAAATTTTCGTTTTTGTTTGAATCTTAATATTTGCTTTGTTTTCTGCTTCTTCCATTCTATTGTGAATGATTTCCATTTTAGTCTTTGTTACTTCTAGTGTTCTTACAGTCTTACTTCCTTTCCATCTAATTTCAGAATTTAATTCTTTAACATATCATCCAGGAAATAAATCTGTCTTCTCATTTCTCTTCTGTAGAACTGCTGTCTCAGATTTTTCTGTTTTCTCCCTGTTTGCTTTCTAGCCATGCACATGGCTAACGATACTGTTTATACTCTACATTTTGCCTCATCATCTTCTGTGTCTCACTCAGTTTTGTTCTTTTTGCTGTTTTGGTAAGCTGGCAGCTTTGTAGTCACCTTGGCTGTTTTCATAATGCTTCCCAATTCTCCTATAATAATAAATGGGATTAATTTGGAGAAAGAGATCATACATGACTTAATACAATTCAATTAAATAATATTAGAAAATTTTCCTGAACTCCTTTGACCCATACTCAGGCCACTCCTGACTTCAAAGTCTTGCTCAAGTAGTCTGAGTCAGGCATTCGGGATGCATCTGCCCATAAAAACATCAGTGTCATNCCTGAATTACTATTACTCAAGATTATTAGAAGCCTTAGGTTAGGTTTTGTAATAATACAAGAATTAAATAAAGAGTATAAGAATTGGAAAGTAAAAATACAAGCACTGTCAACTGCAGATAAAGTTTTTTTTTTAATGAAGAAAAATATACACAATATAGTAAAAATAATAAGAATTTAGCAATGCTGCCAAACATAAGATCACTATAGAAAAGTCTGTTGCCTTTTCCACACCATCAAGAATAGTTAGAAAATATATGTAAAGAAAAAAAGAAATGATATCATTTACAGTAGCATGGAAACCATAGGCTGTAATTTAGGAATATGTTTAACAAAAACTGCATGAAATAGAAAAACTATTGAAATTCACTAGCAAATTAAGTGGAGAAAGGGTAATATTCATGGATAGAAATGTCTATATAAAATATTAACTCTCCCGACATTAATCTATTAATTCAAGGCATTTCCAATTGAAATCTCAACAGAATTTTCTCAGAGAAACTAGATTAATCTAACATTTATATGGAAATGCATATAAAAATGTTGCTGAGATACTCTTGAAGAGGAGGAGTCAGGTGTAACAGGGTTTGTCCTAGCAGCTATCAAGACTTACTTTAAAGCTATATGAATTATTATCATGATGTATGATAACAGGAATTCACAAATAGACTAGTGAAACAGTAGTGTTTAGAAACCACCCCATGTTTTTATGGAAATTTGATTTATGACTGAGCAGGCACTGATAATTACAGCAGAAGAAAAAAGAATATTATATAAATAGTGCTGGAACAATTGGTTATTCATAAGGAAAATAAAGTTGGATATTTACTACATATTATACTCTAAAACAACTAAAATGAAAAGCAAAAGTATAATTCTTTTCAAAGACAATATAGGCGAATACCTTTATGATTTTGGAATAGGGGAAGATTTCCTAAATAAGACTCCATTTGATGGGGAGGATATTACATACTCTAAAATGTGGCTGCCAAGGGCTCTGAGTAGGGCACCTTTCCTTAGAAGGGGCTTTGGTCATATGTGAGTTATCTCAGGTTTATAAAAAATATCACAATACCAACAGAAAAAAATTTAAATGTGTATGATCAGACAATTTGTATGAAGAAATAACAAACCTGTGGGGAAAATACCCTTTTTTAATATTACAAAATAAAATTTAAAAATCCTGAGATACTATTTAACATTATTATATTAGCAAAAATGTAAGAAAATAGCATCCAAAGTTGATAGCATTTTAGGGAATCTGTAGGGAGAAATACATACATATACCACTTTGGGAAAGCAGTGAAGAATAGTGCCGCAAAAAAGGTCCTTTAATTCTGTAATTTCACTCCTGGAAGTTTACTCTTAAAGCAGAAGTGAAATATTATATATATATATATATATATATATATATATATATATATATATATATCTCAACAAGTTCACTTAGATTAAGCAAAAAACTGTAAGAAACACAGATGTCCAAGAGTTGTTTATTAAGAAAATTATTAGCTTAAAATGATTAAATACGTAGTCAGTAAATATGTTATTTTTGAAAACAGTAGACATACTTGAAGTATTTTTACATGTGCCAAATGGTTCTAGGTGCTTTGGCCATAATGTCTTTGCAACACCATTTTAGTCGCAAGCATTTTTGCTGCCAGTATTTCAATGCGTAACTAATTGGCCACAAAAGGCAATTTTGCTGTAAAAAAAATAAATAACTGGTTTTGATTTGGTTGGTTGGTTGGTTGGTTTCATTTCTCAATTGACAGGTCAACTGCCTTCAGCAGACTTAATGTATTTAAGCTGGTTTTTAGTTTGGTTTCATTTTTCCATTGACGAAGTTCTTGCATTTACTCACATTTTTATGTTATATATAAATCTTAGCTAGCCCTTATAATGGTCTATACAGTGATGAGTGGTGGTGACCCTAAAATAGTTAACATTTCTTTCAGCTGATGATTTTTCCCAAGAGTTGGTTTCTTATTTTGAAACACACTATATTGGGTGAGCCCCCTTTGAGGGCACAGAGTTGAACCCACATTTCCCATAGAACGAAGACAAGTGCTTAGGTACAATCTACAAAATAAAATCAGTTATTTGGTCAGTGTTGCCATGAACCTACACACATTTTAAATAAAGCTTTTAAATTTTTGTTCATATTTTCATGTTTCATTATGTCTTTTAATGTCTCCCTTTTATTTGTTGTGATTTTATCTTTTTGCGGTCAATTAGCTATGCAGCAGCAATGCTTACAGCAAAAATACCAGATTTGGTGGCGGTTTGGTGACAGATATGTAAAAGTGTGAATGAAAAAAGGATGGAAGATTATCAACAAGTTATAAATAAATATAAAAAATTACAATGCCAGCTTGGTAGAATATAGCAGGAAATCTTTTCCCCATTGTCCCTAACGTTATAGAATTTATTTTTAAAAACAGTATACAATTGTTGTATAGTTATAGTAGGCCTCAAAAACGAAAAATTTAAAAGGTTTTTATATAACTCACTTCATGAGTTATATAAATGTCTAACCACTATGCTGTGTACCTGAAACTAAAATAATGGAAAAAAATTGCTTTTATAATTTTAGGAAAACAGTGGTATGTCCTATCATTGATGTGATCAGCGATGATACTTTTGAGTACATGGCAGGTTCTGATATGACCTACGGTGGATTCAACTGGAAGCTCAATTTTCGCTGGTATCCTGTTCCCCAAAGAGAAATGGACAGAAGGAAAGGTGATCGGACTCTCCCTGTTAGGTAATTAATTTGTCAAACATTTTCCCTAGAGTGTTATTGGCACAGGAATATTGTGAAGCTTTGGGAATCATATTTTGAGATGATTTTGAGAGACATGAAGCATTTGTGCACCATATATGTGGTTAAGAGCCATCTTGCACATATATCATCATTTTTTCCCTCTGATCAATTAATAAAATTAGAAATTTTTATTTATATAAATCTAGTGTATGTGGTAAAAGATAGTGACATGCACATATTCTTTCATTCCTATTTGAACAACATTTTGCAAATCTTTAAGTCAGATTTGTGCTTTAATTCAGTTGTTAAGGATAATAACATTTAATTTGAATCAAACTGTCCCTTAAGTAATTGTGTTAGTATGTGCAAGTATCACTTAAAACTGAGTCCTTGCACCAAACAAGATTTTTAAATTCAGATTTATACCATCTTGATCATAGTTACTGACTGGTAAGGTTTAAAAAGCTTGTTTTTAAAAAAAAGGTAGAATTGGCAAAAATATAAAAAAGGGTTTTCATTAATGCATTTCTGGGTTTTTTTGTTTTACATTTAGTCATATATAGATTTTTTTCAAAAAGGGATTAAAATCTTCCAGTTCAGAACCTTTAAATTGAGCCCTTGAGCTTTCTGACCCTTTGTAGGATTTATTCCAATTACATCAGCCTGCTGCTTCTTTAGTAACTGAGAGTTCCTTTAGAACCAGGCTTTTTAACTTTTGCCTGTCCTGGGCTTCTCAGACCTGCTTCTCTTGAATTCAAGTTCAGTTCTGGCGAAGCTGAAGAGAGTTTTCACATCCTCATCTCTTTTCCCTAGCCAGCCCGAGTTCTTTCCTAGTAAGGGACTTTCCTACTCTTGCTGATAGTTCAAATCACCACGCAAACCAAAGGTTCCTAAACATTTCATAAATGGACTTCTTTGAAAAATCTAATAAAAGCTTCAGGTCTTCTTTAAGGGGAGGTGGGGAATGCACATCATATAATTCTAGGAAATTTATAGATATCCCAAAACCCAGTCCAGAAATCCTTGTATTAAATGATAACTCTAGGTGTTATCTTATTTCCTTTGACTCCTAAGATATCAGACTTTCTCATTTTTTCTCTTCTAAAATCAAAATAAGTCCTAACTTTTTTATGGAAACAATTATTTCTACTGGAAAAGCAAATGTGCCACCCTCACTAGGACATGGAATGAGGACATTTTAGAGTTACAGACACCAGTTCATCCTAAAAATGATCTCCATAGTGTCTTCTTCCCTGGAACTTAATTATTTTCTCCTAGTCAGTCTGCTATTTATCCATACCCATCCTTCAAGGCAATCAAATGTTTGACTTGTATTCATTCATTTAAACCTCCTTCAATATTATTTCTCTGCTTAATGCCACCTTTTCCACCTGCTCTGCATACCTGGGCCATGTTTGGATAAATTGGGCTCCTCTTTTGCAAACGATATACCACACTTGGTCAGTATAATGATCTTCTTAGAAGGAATGTATTGATTTTATCCTGTATTTGGTTTTATTCTATACTTAAAAGTTCCTGTTAGGTATAGGGAAGAGGCTGCATTGTTTTCATCCTGTTTAATCTTGTGTCTGAGCAATATTTGCCACCCTTGAGAACCTGTCCTGTTAGAGTTGCTAACATGAGCCTAGTTGGTGAATATAGTCAGTTGCATTTATAGTTGCTAGGAACTATGGAGTAGGTACACACTCAGATGGAGAGGATTATGAGAAATATCAATTTAAGGAGTTTCGGGATGGAAACTCTTGAGGACGAAGAAAGATAAAGATACTAAAGATATGAAGAGTCCTTGGGACTGGGCAGAGAAGGACATCCATGAAGAAGCTGTGACAGCATAACCAGGGTGCAGGTCATGTCTAAAGACCAAATAACATAGCATAAAAACAAAGCCCCTGAGGGCCTATGAAAGCTTCTGAAGAATGTAAGAGTAAGCATTTATTCTGTAGTTATAAACAGTTATAAAACTATTGGGTTGTCGGAAAAGTCATGACATATTTTTGCAACGAAAAACAGAAAAAATACATCATGACTTTTCCAACAACCCAGTACATTTAAAAACAAAAACTGAGCGTTGCTTAGTGGCAGTATCATAGCCAATGAGGTTTATCCAAGGCGCAATTATTGCTAATTGAAAAACAAAAACTGATAGTAATTTTTAAATTGTTTCAATTAACAGTATAGTTCTATGATTGAATTTCAGAACACCTACAATGGCAGGAGGCCTTTTTTCAATAGACAGAGATTACTTTCAGGAAATTGGAACATATGATGCTGGAATGGACATTTGGGGAGGAGAAAACCTAGAAATTTCCTTTAGGGTAAGTTCCCTTTGAAAAAAAAATAATCTTCTATTTAACTTTAAATATGGATATGCTTTATTCATGTTATCTCTAAATAAAAAATAAAAAGTGAATTTAATATGAGTTCAATGAGACTTCAGAGCCTCAGGCCATAAAATGTTTGGCGATAGTATTAAGGGTACATTATAAACTATTTTAAGCAAATAATTCAGTTAATAGTGTACCTGTAAAACTTATACAAGATTCTTTGTTTTTCATTTCTGTTATTTTCAAGAAAGTAATTCAAGCTCTAAAAATAAAAAATAATTTGTAGTTTGTATATGTAATTTCACTTTCTGTAATAGGCTTTGTCCCCTTGGTGTAACATTGTTCTCTTACATAAAACCAGACTTTACCAGCTTTATATTTTTCAATGAAAAGAAAAGGCAAAAGAATTCTGAAATTATTCTAAATCAGTTTAACCCAGTGGAGGACCGTAAGTCTTATGCATTTCACGTTCACTAAAATCAATATTATTTAAATGACACTGTATATTCCTGAAATAATCAATTTGTAGACACATAGCTAATAGTGGAAACCACACTGAACTGCACAGTAATTTAAGCTAGCTAGCTCATTTTGTTCCTATTGGGTCTCTGCCTTCTTATGAAAGGAGAGGTTTGGACTCTAGATCATCTTGAACATCCTGTCCAGGTGTATCACTTTATGATCCTGGGAAGACATTAAAGTAGACACAATAAATATTTAACAAAATCAAAACTTTTAAAAATATGTTTTAATTGTAGGTAGTTGGTAGATTTTTAACTTATGGAATGATGTATTTTGAAAGGAGCAGGGATAATTGCATTAAATTAAGGATGTCAAACCATACTTGATGATCTTTCTTTTATCCCCTTTTTGTTTTTATGCTCACAGAGACAAAAAATCATGCTATCACTGTCTCACTGAATAACTCGTGAGAGATCCAGTTTCGATTCCTAGGTTCTGTTTAATGTACATACTATGACCCAGGTTTGAAGAAGGGACAGATAGGACTCTGACTGAATACTCCATGGTCACAGATTTTTTTACTACGAACCAGTAATAAGTACATTATACACACAACAAACATAGAAAACAAACATTTCATGAAACAGTATGTCCTTGTTAGCAAGTACTGCTTGCAGTTCATCAGATTTGAATTTATGATCCTTTTATGAGTCATGGCCTCAGTTAGAAAAATATTGCTCTAGACCTCATGTCTTTTCTGTATTTAGCCTTTAACCTGTCTTTTCTGAATTTAACTTTCAATGTCTGGTTTAATCAGAACCAGAAATTAGAGAAAGGTTTGCCCCTAAGGAAGCACTGTCTTTGTGGCCATATAACAGGAGCTCCACTGTCTGCTCTCAATTCTGTGAAGTTCCAAGGATGAAACTCAGTAGATGTAAACAGATTTTTAAACCATCAGTGTTTAAAACTGGTCTTCTTGATGTTTTCAGATTTGGCAGTGTGGAGGAACTTTGGAGATTGTTACTTGCTCACATGTTGGACATGTGTTTCGGAAAGCTACACCGTACACATTTCCAGGAGGCACAGGGCAAATTATCAATAAAAATAATAGACGACTTGCAGAAGTGTGGATGGATGAATTCAAGAATTTCTTCTATATAATTTCTCCAGGTTAGCATTAGTTTGCAGTAGAAATACAAGGCTAACTTTTTTGTCCCTTATCCTAATGCATTCTGAGCAGAGGTAAGAAGGTGTGCAAAGAAGCTTTGAGCAGAGGCAAAATGCTCATCATAAGTTATTGTAAGGAATAAATGAAATCACACACAGCATAAAAAGCACTTAGAAAAATGCCTAGTATAATATATCACAATAATAACAAACTGTCCAGGTCAGTATTGTAGAAATTATTGTTAGTCCAGGTGTTATCCATGTGTGTGAGGTTTGGGTTTTGTTTTTGACATAACTGCAATGTTTAACATTAATATACAAGTGCTGAGTATCTCAAGGTCAGTGCAAAGCCCTGTACATGCCTCAGGGGACTTCTCTCCAGGAACTTTTCTCTGCTCTTCAGAGTTTTATGGGGATAACTGTACCATTGGCTATAAACCTGCCTGATATTGTTACCATTCTATCCTCATTTTTAAATTACCACAAGACTGTTAAGTAGCAGCGTGCACAATTCAGTGAGTTGTGAGAGAAACCTGACTGGGAACAATTGTTCAGTTTAATATTTGGGCAAAATAAGTCTTGTTTTTGCCTTAACATGTTAAAGTTTTCTTATCCCGTATAACTTATATTTATAATATTATTGACCTGTATATCATTCTTACATAAATTTAATTTTTCTCTGAAAAACAATATATTTACTTGTTTTATACTTTGGGAGGTGGATTTATGGTATATCACTTGTATAGACACACATCGCCAAAATGGTACTTTTCTGATTTATCTGTCTTACTAGATGTAATGTATAAATAGAAATGTGTTACCCAGTAGAACATTAATCTGTCATTCATTTCTTTTAACAGGTGTTACGAAGGTAGATTATGGCGATATAGCATCAAGACTTGGTCTAAGACACAAACTCCAATGCAAACCTTTCTCTTGGTATCTAGAGAATATTTATCCTGATTCTCAGATTCCACGTCATTATTTCTCTTTGGGAGAGGTAAAAAAATATGTATTCTATGTGGTTATTATGTTCTCATTTATTTATCAAAATCAATAGAGGTTAAATTTCCAATAAGGGAGTACCTTCATATTAAAACATAACCTCATGTGTGGAAAAGTTCTTATTAGATGACACAGTCTACCTCATAACTTGACATGTTAATTTTTTATTATATTATATTTTATTAAAATAAGAATGCTCCACCCCTAGCCTTTTACAGTTGGACTCGTGTTACAATATATTAGTATCTTCGATAGATTCCTTATTTTAACAAACTGACCCATTTAGTTGAAACCATATACTCCTGAAGCTAATGTCCTTCTGTTAATTGGTCCGAATCAAAGCTTGAGGAACTTCAAGGTAAAGATAAATTGTAAAGAACTGACAAGGATACTTGAAAGACCGTTGATCATTAATTGTATTTTTAGCATTCTTTTTTTTTTTCGTTTGGGAGTCCTAAATCTCAGTTTGGGCAGGGAGGTTGGAAAGAACGTTGATAAGATGTTTGTTTCTGATGATGCCTTTAGTTATTACTCTTCAGATTTGGTTAATTTTCTTGAAACCTGATATAACGTGCTTATTAATACTTATAATTAGTTAACACAATTAGTTGTGCTCTGTAGTTTGGCCTTTGTATCTTTGTGGGTGCCCACAATGTAGGGTCTGATGTGAAAGAAACTTCTTACCTTCTGGTATAATTACCAGGATGATCACTAGAAACTATTTCTTGTGTCCTATTCCACAGTATTCCTAAAATTCTGATAGCCATCCATTCTATCTCCCAGCCAAAAATATACTCTGTGTATGGGAAACCCAAATAGCCCTTCTCTTTAGCCTAGGGGTCTGATCAAGTCAAGGATTCTGTTAGTTTCCCGGGGTTGACATAATAAAGTACCACACACTGAGTGGCTTAAACAGTAGAAATTTATTGTATCACAATTCTAAAAACTAGAAATCTCAGATCAAGGTATGGGCAGGTTTGGCTCCTTCTGAGGTCTGTGAGGAAGAACTGTTGTCTGCCTCTCCCTCTCCCTAGCTTCTGGTGGTTTGCTGACAGTCCTTGGTGTTTCTTGGTGTGTAGAAGCATCACCCCATCTCTGCCTTCATGTTCACATGGTATTCTCCTGTGTGCAGGCCTGTCTCCAAATTTCCCCTTTTTATAAGCACACTAGTCATATTGGGTTTGGGCCTACCCAAATGATCTCAATTTGATTACCTCTGTAAAGACCCTATCTCCAAATAACATCACATTCTGAGGTATCAGGTTAGGATGTCAATGTATGAATTTGGGGGGACACAGTTTAACCTATAACAGGACTGAGCTATGTGAGGCTGGGTTACATATTTAGAAAGCCTTCGTTCATTTCTGGCTCATGTATGTTTCTTAGGTCTGGTCCTCCAGTGCTTTTGAATAATCGCATGGAGGGGTGTCTTATCTCCTCAACCCTGAAAGTTTTGCCTTTCCGAGGTTTTGAGAATAGTACTTTAGCCTCCCGCATTATTCAGGGACACTTATTTTTTGCAGGTCTTCTCTCTAGCAAGAATTTCTCCTAAGCACCAGGAGATGCCGAAGGAAGTAAATGAGCAAGCCATATGAATTTATGGAGAAAGATTATTCCGGGCACAGGGAAAAACAAGTACAAAGGCCCTAAGACAAGAGTGTACTTTGGCATGTTGCAGAAACAGCAGAGAGGCCAGTTGTCTGGAATGGAGTGAACAAGGGGAGAGTAGTAGAAGATAAAGTCAAGACGTAGTGAGGGTCAAATTATATCGCGCTTGTAGGCCATGGTAAGGACCTTGGGTTTTATTCTAAGATGGGAAGCCATAGAGAGAGAGAGAGAGAGAGAGAGCAAGCTTTCATTGGAAAAGGCTCAGATTGTCTGCTGTGTCAAGCAAAACTATATGGGCACTAGAGTAGAGCTAGTGTATGGGTGAGGAAAAGAATAGCCAAGGCTTATATTAAGACTCAGCCTGAGAAGCTGAAGCAGCAACATTAGCATTACTGAAATGGGAAGCCTGTAGAGCAGGTACAGAACGCATTCAACAGTGCCATTTGGGACATGTTAAATTTGATTCAGGTAAAGATACTGGGTGGGTAGTTGCATTTAAAAATCTGTAGCTTGGATGAGAGGCTGGGGATGGAGTTCTAAAATTAGGAGTTGTCAGTATATAAGTGGTTTTTTAAGCCACAGAACTTCATGAGGTCACCGTGGGAGGACTGAGGACCAAGCCGCAGGAAAGTCCATCCACAATGTAGAAATTACGAAGATGAGAAGGAATTAGCCAAAAAAGATTGAGAGTGACGTCCCAGAGACTAAGTGATGGACTTGTTTCAAGAAAGGGAAGGTGATCAATTGTGGAACACTGCAGAGAAGTCACGGAAGATGAGTACTGAAAATTGGTCATCAGATTCAGAAGAGAAGTTGTAGGTGAGGGTTCCCATGGAGATGAGTAGTGACAAAATCCCTGGTGGCTTCAAGGAAGACTGGAGAAAAGAAAGTGTTGTAAAGAGCAGAGAAATGGGTGGTAGCTGGAGGGCAATATGGGGTTAAAGAAGGGTGTTTTGTTGTTTGTTTTTGCTGATAAAACATGATGCAAATGACCCAAAAGAGAAGAAAATGAGAAGATGCCAAAAACAAGCCACTGATTGCTGGAGTCCTGTGGGAGTTGGATGGGAGGTGATTAGCTCCAGTGCACAAGTGGAGGTAGTGGTGGGGGCAGGAGGAGAAGGCACTTATCCACTGCAACAGGAAGGAAGGTAGAGAGAATGGGGACTAGTGTAGGCCAGTTGTAGATTTGGGGGTAGAAGCTGGTAGTTTGTGGTGGAAGCGTGAGGAAGTTCTCTGATGACTTCCGTTTTGTCAGAAGAACACAAGATCTTTGGCTGAAAGTGAAGAGAGGATGTTGTATCGTGATAGGGGTTTAGGGGAAAGAGGAAGAGATGTAAAGTAGAAACATAAGACATGGGAAAGCAAATAGATCCCAGAGGGGCTGGATGCTGGTGAGTTAGAGTGAAACCATTCGACCTGATGGCGTGTTCTCGCATGCCAGGGCAAGCACAGGTGCCTGTGTTTGTCCTTAGTAGCTACTGAGGCTCCTTCAGGGTTGAGGGCTCCCTACCTCTAAACTGTGTGGTGCTTTAAGGAATTCACCCTCAAATAAGTAAGGAGTATGCAGAGTTTCTTGCCTCATTAATGAGCATCTGTTCCTTTTGCTGTAGCCTCATTCCAGTCAGGAAAGGCCCGGGGAGGGTAATGTGCCACAGGAAGATTTATAGCACTTGCTTCTATAACTTGCCTTTAGAATAGAGAATGAATTTGGTTTTTGTCCTTTAACTGACCCAATTTTGGACAACACCTAGGCATTCTTAGCTGGGCCAGAATACAGGTGTGTTACAAAGAGCCACTTGTCTAAGCCATAGTAGATGATTGCCAAGGCAAACTTGCATTTTGCCTGCCTCTTGCCAGCTGGCTTTCTGTACAAGGAATAAATTTAACCCTCAGCGGCTTGCCTGTTATTGCCTTATTAACTAAACAGCTGGTCTTAAACTTGTATGCCTTTAATAGCTGGCCACACTATCCAGATGGAAGCTCTGATTTCTGGGGCCGGGTCATTCTCAAGCACCCACCACAGTGCAGCCAGTCATCCTGTGCTTGTGATCATAGCTCCATCTGTGTGAGCCTTCCTTCATTAGAGACTGGAATTTAGCCTTTCAAGGATCTTCTGTCATACTTCAAGGGCCGAGGGATACCTGAAATCATGGGATTTTAGAGTAGAAAGGGAAATTAGAAGGTACAGATTTAGTCTCTGGCATCACTGAGTCCGATTCTCATAAGCTCCTCTAGCCCCCGGAACTGAATAAATGTTTTATTGTGATATCTAATAGTTGTTAATCCAGGAGATGAATATTCTAAACCACCACAGAAAGCAAATAATCCCTTCAACAGTTTAGCCAGGCTTACTGACTGACCAGTTGCTTCTCCAAGCAGATCTGATAATCCTGAGATTTAGTGAGCATGAACTCCATGTCAAGCACCAACCTGAATGCTTCACCAATATTAACTCGTTTACCCTCACATCAACGCTGTTGAGATTCAAGTGCTATTATCCCCCTTTCACGGAAAGTAAATTGAGACATAAGGAAATGGTTTAAACAACATAGCTCAGGTCACAGACACAAAATGGAAGAGATAGGATTTGAACACAGGCAGACTGGCTTGAGAGCCTGTGCTCTTAACCACTAACACTCATACTCTTATATTTAACCAATCTTTACGTTATGGCAAAGAGTAAAACAGTGACTTCAGATTCCATCATACTAGATTCCAAAAATCCTTTAACCACTTTTGTTGTCCACCCTAATGGAGGTACGAGGATTCTGGAGGAGACGATAGCAGAAATGAAGGAACTTAGGCTCTGATTTCTTGCCTGTTTCCTAGGAATGAGTGCATTCACAATTACTTTCAACTCCTAAAGTCAAAAATAATATTTTAGTGATAGCTGTATACAACTAAGGTGCTACTTCAGAAAGAGTTGAAGAGTCACTGGATCTTATGTGGATACAGAAGGGAAACAGACAGTTGTGGGCCTACTACATGTCAGTTTCTGCTAGGCCTCTGTATGTGTTGTTACCTCATTGAGAGATCTCAACAAACGTGTGTGTGTGAGAAAGAAACCGTTATCAGATGAGAAAATGAGGTTTCTACAGCAGTGTGTCCCAATTACTGTGTAAAGAATGTTGCTATCTGTTGTCCCTCAAGATGCTCAATTAGAAAGGCAAGGGTATGGGGAGTGGATTTTGTAGCCAAAAATATTTGGGAAATGCTGCCTTTTATATCCTGTACCACCAGTCCCTGCCTCTACCAAGAATCGCAGCATGTAAAAGGCTTTTAGAAGCCTTTCAGTAAAGAAGACTATTTAAATTTGTTTAACCCAGTATTTCCCAAATGTATTTGATAATAAAACCCCTTTTTTGGTGGCACATATGTCCATACCTG